GCAGTGAGGATCCAAGTTCTGCCCCATTGAGAAGTGGAGAATGCAACCAAAGTCCTCCAAGCTGGTGAGAGGTGTGAGTAAACCTATGTCTTCAGTCTAGATTCCTTGGTTATTGTTTTGAAAAGGACAATGAAGCACATTGTTATTTCATGTAGAAATTCATTTAGAATGCCATTTAGATACTTAAAGTATCTAAAGGAGGCATGGACACATTGCTCAAGTAGTAAAGTGCCCTCTAATTAATTAATTAATTAATCAAGACTCTCAGGAGATCAGTAAAGGAGAAGTCTCTATCTTCATTTTTTTCAGAGGAGAAAACTGAAACTGAGATATGTAAAAATATATATATATATACTTAGATCCCTAACTTTGGAATCAAGTGGGTTTTCTTGGCAAATCAGAGAAATTTCCTATCTTAATTTAGGTCAAATTTTTTATTTGTTTAACATTTTCATTTGCTCATCTACATTTCTGATTCCTGGCTGGGGTGGGAGTGGGGAGGGGATTAACTCACTCAAAGACCCATGAGAGGATCATGAGCTTCATGTGCACCTTAATTTCAACTAGAAGAAAATGCATTCATAACAAAACATAATCACAGTTAATATTCAAAATCAATTTACGCAAACAAGAGTAGCATAATTAAAGTCAGAGCTCGAGGCCTCTTTCAGGGAGAATAAAATGGATTGCTATAACTACCACCAAAACTAGAATGAAATTAAATATGCATGCGTGTGGTTTGAAGAATAATCATTATACTAGCCCCAGAAGAAAATCTGTTTATTTCTAGTCAATTTTTACTGACTCTACCCATCCACCTGCCCCCTGCAACAATCTAGCCATTATGAAATCAGCTCAGGTTAATATTAAGACGGTGCCAGTGACAGAAAACTGGATAGTTTCAGACAAACCTAAGTGCTAACAACATCACAGTCATAATTTTCTCCTCCTCCACATGCCATCGGCCCCCCATGCGCTTCCATTTCCTCTGAAATGCAAGTCTGTGTGCACATCACATTAACGAATCATGGGGCACTTTTTTATATCTGTTTATACTAAGATTTCTCTTATTTGAGGGGGAAGCCAGGGTGTGTGAGGCACATGTTAGACATTCTCTCGGGGATGATTTCGGAAACAATGCCCTCCGAATGCAGTGTTTATTCTCAAGTCTTCTAGGAAGATCCTATTTGCACTAATGAATGTTTCCTATGCTATTATTGGTAAGGCAATTAGGCCTTCTCTACACGTGTGCCACCCAGCGCAGTCAAGTCTGTGGGCAGCTGTGGGCCTCTGGGCAATCAATCCTGTTTCTCAGCTGCGCTGTCAATCAGAAACTCGCCTTGAGTGGCGTCTACTGGTGGCTCTCAGCGTGCTCACGCTTTCCCGTTCCCTCGCCTCTTTCGAGTTCACCATATTACAGACTTTGAGCCTGCTGTTTTTTCATCATAGAATGGAATTTTTTCATTTTTCTCCGCCTGTGTTGATTCTTTCCCCCTGTTTTATCCTTTCAAGACTATCATAGAAAATATAGTATTCAACATGAATCCCCCAGAGGGCTTCTTGGCTGCAGTTTCAATATATATTATTCTGTATTTCATTTCTCTCCCTTCTTTTTACCTTTAGACACCTCAGACTCCATCCTGCCAATGTCTCCTGCAACTTCAAAAGCTCTGTACTCCATCTTTTTCTGTTTCTAATCTTGTATTTCTGACTTCTTCTTGGCCCAGGAAGTCTTAACTAATTATCAACAGGAAATTGAGTTTTCTCCCGTGTCAGATGGTGCCTAACTTTACTTTTATTTAATATCAATAGACTTTAATCACATATATTTATGCAGCTCAGTCAGTGTGTATGCAGGATGATTTAATTGAGCTGATATACCTATTTGTCCTGAGTAGGTACCACTTACTCCTTCTGTCTGATTTAAACGTTGTCTCGCTTAAAAATATGTCTCCATTCTCCCTAGCCCCAGAATGGTCCCAATTTTGTCAGCATTGGGACTGAACATTCTGGACTCTTTCAGTCTACTTCAATTTAGTAGACTGTAGTCTGTACCTCAGACCAGCAGTTTCAATGCTGGTCTGGAAAATCTGGTCAAAGTACACTAGGTGAGCTTATTTTAAATACATATGGTATGTATTAACAGCTTTCTACTTTGTATACTTACAAAGCCATCAGCACTAGAAAAATACCTAATTCAACCTCCAATTGCATCTTTACTTTCTGTAAACCAAAAAGAAATCTTGCTTGCTGAATGGCAAACTGGATACCATGGGCAAAGCCCATGTGGAGTTTGTTAGTAACTGTGCCCCTCTCCCAGCAGCACAACAGCAAGTTCAGGACCTCAAAAGTGGGCTTGCCAACTGTCCACAGACTCAAATACCTTTCCTCTTTAAAAAAAAATTGGGCTTGCCAGCACACATGCATGTACACAAACATGCACACACATGTGTGTGCACACAGACATATCTGGCTATCCCTTAACCATCCTCAAACTCATGCTCAGAGAATCTTCACCCATGACAGTGTGAGACCTATGAAGGAAGGAGCAGAAAAGTTCCTCTACTTCCTACAAGTCTTAGGTTTGTGTTTTCCTGCTTTACCTACTCCTGGGAGACACCTTCCTCATTCCCTCCATCCACAAGTTGCTCCCAATTTACAACTGTTATTTTGGCAATTTCTTGCATCCCTATAAATATGAGAATCTGATTGCTTTTACATGAAATTCATGATGAGAGATGTTGGTCAGGATCAAAAGCATCAGTTTACTCAACAGTCTGCTAATAGGTAAGGAATTTCCTGCAAGTCTTACTTCCAGGGACATTTAAGCTACCGTTTATGCTAACATGACAGCCCAGGCAATGGCATTAACATAGCTTGAAAGGAAAAGAAATAGGTCAACTGGAAACAGGAGACAGCCTGGTGGGTAAACAGTAATGATGATACTTTTGAGTGTGATCACGTGCCAGGTACAGTGCTAAGCACAGCACTTCGTTCTCTTTTTCTAAATCTTTACTACTGTTAAAGAAATAGGCCCTGCATTAGACACTCACAGATGAAGAAGCTGAAGCACAGTCACAATCACCCAGGTAATAAACAGCAGAGTCAGCACTCCAACCCAGATTTTCTGGCTCCAGTGCTCTCAATTTCTGAGCACTTTGTTTTTCTGCCTAGTCTGTTCTGAGTAGTCCAAGAAACAACTTGTAAAGTCCCTAGATTTCAGTCCACTCTTGTTTTGATCCTACATCTACCCAACAGCCCTGGGGTATAGTTTGGCCTCCTCAGCGCTCATGAAAACAGGAAGGGTTTGTGAGTCCTTTGAGAGTTGTTGCTGTAAAATAATCACTGTAAAATGATGAGTTGGAAGCTGCTTACCTCCATCTCCTAAACAGTCAGTTCTTGGGTCTTAACACTCTCTGGCTCTCCAGAAGGAGACCGCATCTCCAGATGCCCTTGTTCTACCTAACTCTTCACTATGCACCATAATATTTCTACCAGTTCCCAGCTGCAAGTTCTGCATTTTTCCTCCATAGACACCACAACTCCATCTCACTGTTCAGGTATAGGAAGGTGGTAAGGGTAAATGCTTTTTAATACTTGGACAACTTGATCCTCCATCCTCCTTACCATCCTTTCTTCTCCTCTATGTATGTTTCTTTAATAAAAAATAAATTTAAAAAATGACAGCCAAGAGCCAGTGGCTCACACCTATAATCCTAGCTATTCAGAAGAAAGAAAGAAGCATGCAAGCCAGACCAGCCCCGAGGGTCCTCTCTTGGCTGAGTAGGACACTCTGGGAAGTGGGAGCGTGGTGAGTGGAGCTGCTGAGAATCATAGGGCACATGAGGGTCAGGTTGTGCTTAGGCCAGGGCACACTTCGTGTGTGCTGACATGGTAAGAGGTAGGAAGTCACAAGTATTGCTTGGAACAGAGTAGACACATGTGGTAAAGCCTATGGGTTCTGCTTTTCAGAAACATGGTTTTATAAGCATGATGGAAAAAGAATGAAGGCTGCTTGGGTCTTGGGAAGAAGAAGAGAAAAACATCTAGATATTAAGGGAAGCTTGGCATGAGTAAATATTAGCCCAATGAGCTATGAAATTATCTGACTAAATTTTAAATACTTGGGTGTTACCATTCTGGGGAAAAAAAGCCAACACTGATATTCTCTATGACATATATCACTTCCTAAATTCTCACCAGTGACAACTTTGCTTGTCAGTTCAAACTTCTCTTCTAGTCTCAACTAAAGTAAGAAAGAATTCTTTCCCTACCAGGATTTACATTTTATTCTGAGGATAAATGTCATGTAACTAAACAGAAAAAGGAAAGAGCTGGTCTGTACGTAATCCCAGTAAAAGTAGTATTGACAGAAGTCTCACATTTGATATGTCTATTTTTCCAGAAATGGCCTGCAGTTAACATACTACATCATGGCCAAACAGAAACTGTCCTGTCACCGTCATCCATCAGCACACAGCATTCTTCACTCCCCCAAAATGGCATTCTCTACTTTCACTCTAACCCTGTGCTGAGGGCCTATCACCCTTTCAATTTATAGGATGTTTCCCTTTCCATGTAAAGCAAATGCATTTCTTTCCTACTACGGCTGCTGAAGTGACCCCCTGAATCTTCTACTTTCATTAGGCAATCTGGACACTAAAAGGAGTTAGTGAAAAGTCAAGTCAAAAGTAAAATTAAAGTACAGTTTCTGAGCTTTATAGCATGTACAAAAATGGCTCCTTGCCTTAATGGAGCTGAAAACACAATGGTGTAAATGTAGTACTTGGCAAGCTGCCCACAGGTCTCATTATTTTACAATTATACATAGATGTCAACCATCAATGCTGGCATCTAAAGCCTATGGCGTTGGTGAGGGCTTAAAATGGTTCAAGTCTGCCTTCTGCAAAAGTTACAGTGAAGAGAAGATAGGCCTGTTTAACACAGCATGTGTTTTTCCTAACTAGCCAGTGACAAGAAAGAGTTATACAGGTACTTACTATTTATAACCCATGGCCACATCCACAAAATACTTCCTTCTCTGTCGATAGATATTGTCCTTAAATCCCTTAAACAGAAAAGAGATTAAGTTATTTAACAGAGTGCCGAAAAATTAGCTGCAGAAGGCCTAAGAGAAAATCACTGTGGTGTTTATTGAGTGTTCAATTCAAATGTAAATCTTATCCTCAGATGACCGCCTTGATGACACAGGCAAAAGCAAATTGTGCTTACAGTAAAACCTCGTTCAATTTGGCTCTACTAATTTAGGATATGTGGGAATTGAGGCTAGAGTTTACCTTTCCACTAAGTAAGCAGAAGGGCTTAGTTAAGCAAATTAATATTTTGAACAATATCTTTTGGTTTTTAAGTATCATTTACGTGTAATTGATCTCAATCACAAGTTAATCTTAGCCAATTAATTAAAACAAGTCTCTCTAACATGGTTATTGAGTAAGTTAACCCAATTTTAATTGCTTTGTGTAAATAATTAATGAATGTACCATTTACTTAAAACCCATCATTCCAAATATTCATCAAATCCCCAAATTAATGTGGAATTAATGAGATTTTTCTGAATTTTATGACTTCAGCCACAGAGTGCAAAACTAATAAGAGGTGCATGCACAGGGGAAAAAGTTAACTCCATTCCATCTGAGTGACTACAAATTTAACATGTCTTAGCCAACTTCAAGGTTTTCATCTAGCATCATCCAGTTGAGAATTTAAACACCCTGTCTGGCATTTGTTTCAATCAAGTGGATTCCTTCAAAGAGGACTTCCTCATTTAGTCAACCATCTCTCCCCTTCTCAATTTTCTCCTTTTCCCTCCTTCCCATACTTCCACACAATTGATTCTTTCTGGGATTGTCTCTTCATGCTAACAGAACCCCTGGAGGAACTGTTTTCATTTAACTTCTTACCTCTAAAGACCTCATGGATGACCAGAAAGCAGTGACCACTGACAATAGATGCCAGATAAGCCACAGGGAACATGGGATTCTAGACCAAATGAGGAGGAATAAACAAAGCACTTGTAATAGCTACTCCTACTCGTGAGGTGGAAACAGGAGGATTTCAAGTTAGAGGCCAGCCCAGGCAAAGTTCCTGACACCCTATCTCAGAAACAAAACATGAAAATAGATGGGCTGGGGATGTAATTTAAGAAATGGAGCAGTAGCCTGGCAAATGCAAGGCCCTGGGAGAATGGAGGAGAAGGGATGAGACCCACAAAGGCCTATACTACCTTTGTAGCAATGTGAATCTTTCTGCAAGTTGGGGGAGGGGGTTGTTCAAAAGGTACCCAAAAACTAGAAAAATCATCCATTTTCATTTGTCTGGCTGAAGAAGAATGAGCCTCAACCCAGGAATCTTCAGGAGACTCTCTGCAGGACAGAAATGGAGAATGACCTCTCTTTCAGGAATAATAAGAGAATTACTAAGGATGGGGAAAGATGAAAAAGACCCTCAGATCACCCTAAGACCCTGTTGAAATGAAGTGCTGTGCCCAGCAACACACTCTTTCTTATGCTATGAATTGGGGAAAAACATTTTTTGGACTGAGGTTCATGTGCTGGCTTGTGAAATCCTAACATGGTACAGAGAAAATTTTATGAGCATAGTTAGCACATTCACAAATGGATCTGTGACCTATGAAAGGCCCCCTGCTGTAGAAGGTAGACAGGGGCACACTAGAAAGTGAATGTTGCTACATTCCCTAGTAAAACCAGGCTCCCTGAAGGGAGAAAACTGAAGATTCCCAAGCACCTTCAGTATGCACAAAGAAAGTAGGTTATGATAAAAGGGAAAGAGTCCCATGAAAAGAGTCCCTGGTTCCTGACAGACCAGACACCATGGTTACAGCAACATAATCTACTGTGCTTCCAGAAGAATCTCCACTGTGCCTTCTTAGCAAACACCTGCACCTTTTCCAGGGAAACAAGAGAGATTTACTCATCATGCCTCATTAGCCTAGAGTGGCAGTGATTACCCAAATGTTGTGGGCCATCCAGAGCTTCCTGGATTGAACCACAGACTGGCAAAGGAAGGGATGCTCACTGCACCAGTGATTACAGAATCACCGCATTCCTTGGCCATCCATTCTGAACCAAAGCCAGAGACATGGCTACCAAATAAAATACAGGACACCAAGTTTAATTCCAATTTCAGCTGAACAGCAAATGTTTTTATTTTAACTAGGTATCCTGTATATTTATTTATAAACTCTTGCAACCCAACACCCAGAGAGTGTCTGCTGCACAAATTGACTACCCTTTCCTCAACTGACATCAAACTGAACTGAAAACACATCCAGAGGAGTGACATGCCTAGCTCATTGCAAAGACACTCAAGTAGCCATTTGAAAGAGTAAAGCCCGAATACTCGATTCACCTGCAGAGCTTTGACTGCTACTCCAAAGCTGGCTGTATCCCAGAGGTTCTGATTTAAGCTATCTAGGGTGAGGACTTGGCATCAGTATTGTTTTTAATTCCTCACAGATGTTCTGAATGGAAAGCTGGGGCTGAGACTCACTGAACTGAGACATTAGTTATCACACCAGAATCTTCTGTATATCTTTGTATAAGCAAATTCTAGGGTCTGTCCCCCAAAAGTGAAGATTCAGTAGGCTCCAGGTGAGCTCTACGATATTACATTTTGAAAAGCACCTTAGGAAAGACTGAATTATACTTTGAAAGATGCTTCACAGTCTAGATCCTGTGGTCTTCGTATTATCTAGTGTGAGCCTGGACTGGGAACTCAATAGAAATTCAGAATCTCAAGCCCTGTAGCGTCACTTTCTAGATTTGAAACAATCTCCCAGATGAGTTCCTTTGTCCATTAAATGGCTGTCATCCTCTAGTGTGTATACGGCTATGCTTTCTTGGGAGCCGCAGTAGTATGACATATATTCTGAGCCCCTTTTGAACTATCCTAAAACTTTTTTTTTCTCAGGCATGAAAAGATTCTTAGACACTCTTCCCCATCTTCATCAAGTAAAAGCTTAAAAAACATCAACTTACCAATATCAAATTTTGCATAATGACCATTTAGAGTGCTTATAAAAAGAAATAAACGTGGGTTTAAAAAATGACAAGCGATGTAGGGGATTGCTAAGTACTTTCAATTATTTCAAGTGGCTACACAGAAAATAAGAGAAGGTATCATAAAGTGGATGTAATTAGGAGTAATGGAATAAAATTAAGCATAGGAAAATACGCTTGGTATTGGAATACATTTTTTTCACAGCAAGGTCAGTGGCTCCTGTGTCTGTTCCATTGAAATGGCTCAACTTTTTCCTCCAATCAAATGGAGAATTATTAAAGACACTGTTGAAAGTTTTTCTGATGATTGGGAGACTAATATGTGATTTACTGTGGAATATCCTGAAATTTTCAGTGATGCTGGAAAATATAATATAGTTTTTTTGCAAGACTTCAGCTTTTAAAAAAAAAAGTAATGCAGCTAAATTGAGTCTGTCAGGCTATTTGCTTGATATTTGAATTGGTTTGACTTGGTATATTATGCCAAATGACTGCTTTGATTGACAATTTCCTTAGCATTGATATTATCATAGTTTCTTTCAAATAGTGTTTCTCAAACTACCTGGTGGACTAGTTAAAGCAAATTCCCAAATGACATCACCATTAGACTTATGATCACACTTAGAGACACTGCAGAAGGCAGTGATACTATCAGATCCCCAAACTTCTTTCATTTAAATAGCAAGCATATTGGAAAACTATTAGCCTCATAAAACAAAGCATTCCTGTAAGCATGCCTGATCTGCCTGGGTTTCACTTTTTTATCTGCCTGATTTTAGACAAGGGGCACTAGGGAAGAAAAAATACCTGTAATGAATGGATGCATTGCTTACTTCTCTCAGACTATCAACTATACTTCATTCTGACCATACAGAAGTTTCAGGTCTCTTGTGTAAAGAGGGGAGGAGGAAAATAATGGGAAATGCTTACCCAAGTATCGTATTTCTTTAAAGATGGTCATTTTTATTGGAGTATAGGGGAGAACAGCAGTAGATAGATTCAGAGTAGATGCGGGAAGACATACATCTTCCATCACAGCCTTATTTTAAAAGCCTCTGCCTTTCCATTGAGGCCGGAGCCAGTCACATTACTTTACTCCTAACTTCCTCTAGTCAAGGAAAATGGCAAGAAGAATTTTATTCTCTCACTGACCCCCATCATGCCTAGTCCTTCCTAGTTTCCCATAGGGGTGATCAATTTCAGTGCATGGTTTTTCCAAGGGTTACCATCTACAGGTGTATTTCAAGCTGTCTAATTCCACAGAAATATTCTCCAGAGTGTAGCCTCTCCTCCTCTATCCAACCCTTTTTAAAAAAAATAAATGCCATGTGAAAACACCATCTTTTTAACCTGCTTCCCGCCACCACATGTGCACAGGGAAGCTTAATCATTTGAAAGTCTGCTCTCAGTCATGAGATAAAAATAATAAATGATTCTACAATAAAAATTACAGTATAGAACATGGTACATGGCCTGGCACTGTGGGCGGATCTGAAAGAGCGCGTGTAAAATGGATTTGATAAGACACTTACTGGGTGGTCGGCATCAAGCTCAGTGCCATACATAAGAACTCTGTGTGAGCATTTGTCTAACTCAGAGATCTTCTGGGGAAACCAAGGCACATCTTCTAGGTCTGTTGAAAACACAGCGAGGAGCAAAATATTAGCTCACAGATTGCATTTTTCCCTTTGCAACAGTTGTCAGATTGCAAAATCACCCGACAAGCAAAAATCTGCCCTTGCCTTCTTCCTCTGTCCAAATGTTCTCTGGGGGATTCAGCGTCACAATGGTAGACTGAAATTTCAGCAACTGAATGAGTTCATTGAATTCTGCTTTGCCACACTCACAGTCCACGAAGATTTCAACCTCAGAACTCCTTCGCCGTGACCTCCTGGATTCGATATGAACCATGTTGATGTGTTTTTCCTACAGAAGCATAAGCAGTATCTCTAAATCATATCAGGTCACAATTTTAAAAATGCTTTTTTTGTTGTTCAATTCTCAAACAACGAAGTGTCAAATACCACCAAAGAGGAAAAGACAATCTCTCTAATCTTGGATTGACTATTGTGAAAATGTTTCCAACTTCTATTAACAAGAAAAGTGAGTAGTAATATCTCTATGTAGGGTGTTCTGACTCACTAAAAAAAAAAAAAGAAGAGTACATAAAGATAGGTAAAGGGCAAGATAGAATGTAGGATGCATAAAAGCATCCTCATTTCCCATGTCCCATGTCCCACTGGTGGTACATGATTATTTTGGGGGAGGGGAATTTTGTATATTTGTATACAAAATTTTTATAATCTAGTCCCAAGATTATAATTTTATGTGTTTCTGAAAATATAATTAAGATGCAGAGTCTTGATTTTATAATGATATAAATCTCCTTTTTGAAATATTTTAAAAATAAATATTTTTTCACAAAAAAAAAATCACCTAAATGATAGGAATAGGAAGTAGAAATTGGGATGGTAGTATGATACAGGCTAAAGCATAATCCAGTACAGTGTAGGAAAAGAAAATAATCAAGAAAAGCAGCCAAGAATGAATCTCTGAAGGCAAGAGGAAAACAAATAACTTAGGGCACAAAGAGGAGGCAAAATGAAAGATAAAATGTATTGAAACAACCTTAAGTAGGACCATTTAGGTGTCATTCTTTTTTGGTACCTTTCTCTTCTTCCAAGGATAGGTTGTACAACTACCTAAGTGGGATGGATCTCAGAATCTCCTACAATGAGCAATTCCAAGGTGAAGGGTAACAGTGTTTAAAATCAAGTTTAGAACTTAGGGTTGTGGCTCAAATAATAGAGTGCTTTCCTAACAAGTACAAGGCCCTGAATATAATCACAAATACTGAAGAATATATACATATACATATATCAGGTTAAAATATCTTCAGTAACTAATTTTTCCTTTTTCTTAAATTAATTGAGGACTAAGTTTAACCCTGTCCTGCCCCACATAAGCTGGTCCCTCCCTATGGCTGCAGATGGTACACTGTGATTACCAGCACAATTTCTGATACAATTCATCAACCTCAGGGTTTTCAACACAGGATCAGTATAAGTAGTTTTCAATGTCAGAATAGGATCAAATCAAACTGCATCCTCTCCTGTGTAAAGAAGCATTGTGACCAGGAAACGAAATGTTCTATTTCTGTTTTTACTAACCCATACAATGTGTTTTCTAGATTGGCTGATAATGAACATATAATAAATATTAAGTTTCATGAGACTTCCCAAATATTGTATCACTTTGGGCTTTTAATGTTCTTTGATTGAAGCGTTTTTAGACTGGGAAACTGAGGTCCAGATGAATTAAGTCGTTTAGCTAAAGGGTCATGACTAACTGATGGCCAATGGAAAATTCAGAGCTGCAAATTCTTTCTCTAGGGAGTTTTCCACTGCACCCAGCTGTCTAATTGAATTGGCTCGCCTTTGGGCACTGAATGGACACAGCCCTAGATGAAATAATTACATGTAAAATACTACGCCAGATTTCCATTACCACTGTTTATGGTACCTGATCCTTTCGAGGTCAAAGAAAACAAGGAAATATTAGGCTGCTAATTCCCATTCTATAATTATCATCACGGTATCATAATAATGCCTCAAATCTGTATGAGCACTTTTGCTCATATTATTTTATCCCAATGATCCAGTTAAGCAGGAATTATGATTGCAACTTAACAAATAAAAACATGGATCCCAGGAAGTAGCTGGTCATTAGCCAAACCAGGAGAATACAAATGCAAATCCTCTAATTGCACTTACAACTACCTATGTACTTCACAGCTGTCCAAGGCACCATGCAAAACTGGGCCCCTTGTCTTACAGCTCAAGACAACAGTACCCCCAAACAAAATGATTTGTAAGAGAACGTATTCATTAAAAGTGGAAAGAGCTGGGTGGTGATCGCTCACACCTGTAATTCTAGCTACCTAGGAGGCTGAGATCTGAGGATCATGGTTCAAAGGTAGTCTGGGCAGGAAAATCTGAGATTCTTTTCTCCAATTAACTATCAAAAAAGCCAGAAGTGGACCTGTGGCTCAAGTGAAAAGTGCTAGCCTTGAACAAAAAAAGCTCAGGGACAAAGCCCAGGCCCTGAGTTGAGCAACAGGACTGGCACCAAAACAAACAAACAAAAAAGTCAAAGGAGCTGTCCGTGTAGATTCATAAGAAGGCAACAGCCCTTCTGGACTTTGGTGCCCCATCCACTAACAGGGTACTTTCCTTTTTTGAGGGTTAAAACCACAGATTTAAACCTGGGAATATATAACTACATTTCTATAAGATAACGGGAGTGCTAGCCCTAGCTCATATATGAGAGTAATTCATCTTGGCAAAACACACATAATGTTCTTGAAACAATGAAGCTGAAGAGAATAACACATTCCTATGCTCATGTGTCCCACTTAATGTAATGAATATGCTCTTATGACACCGGTACAATTCCAGTTTTAGCAAATCAAAGGAAGCTACTGGCTCTTGATATTTATGCCTGTTTGGCATTTTTGTGTTTTCATTTTCAAGTGTGAGGCTCACAGTTTTATAGACCTTCTCATCTGGCCACAGTCTGCAGCATTCCTGAGTGGTTAATTCCCCATTAATAAATCACAGTTCCTGTGGATCTGCTTATTACATGATTTGGCAGACCTCATGAAGTTTGATTCAGTAACGCTTTATATATGTCAGGTCTGTAGCCAGGCAGAGTTGTTTAAGGTTATGTAATGACACCTTGCACTCACCTGAAAGAGCCTCAGAGCTTTCACCAACCCCCCAGCTTCATTCTTCAAGGAGAATACAACTGCTGTTCTGCCACTCTCCGGAGCAGTGTTGCTTTGGCTGCTTCCTTTGTTTCCTGTCTTGTCATCGTTTCTGTTCGAGTTAGCTTTATTTGCCTTTAAGAAAGTACACACACACACACACACACACACACACACACACACACAAACACACACACACAGAGTTAGGATTCCACAGTTTTCATAATTACACATTTCCTCAGCTGTTCCTTCCTTCACACGCTAGAAGTCCCACTAACCACACAAACTCAAGCTGAGATTGTCCTGGTGCTTATAGCTTTCAGTCCTAAATATTGGTCTAATTTACTGTAAGATACTGATTTCCAGTACTTTAAAAGACCATCTAATGATTGAGATTTAAAGAAGATAGGTGTGCTTCACTTTCGTGGCCACACACACACACACACACACACACACACACACACTCTCACACACACAAAATCTGGCCATCATTAAATATAAACTATCTTATATGAACAATCCCTGCCTTTCTTTGTAAGTTTATTTTACAGCAAGAAACCTCATATTTTAGCTTGATTAAACAAAACAAATATAATAGCAAACATGTATTTTTGATGAGAGTATATTACAATTCAATTTTTAACATAAAGTCTTTATTTCATTATGAAACTGGCCATAATGTGTCCTGAAATAGATAAACTTACATTCTGCAATTAGGTCCACACTGGTGACATGAATTGTAACACAAATCTACCTCTGTATTGAGAACTTCACCCCGGAGGAGTGTGTTCAGCTCAATTCAACTTTATAGGAATATTATATCCTATAATATATATATTATAGGAATATATATGTGACTGTTAAAATTCAGCCACAAAAAAAGGAAAAGAAAAGGAAGGAAGAAAACCAACTAACTCATTATTGGGAGCAGGCTGAAACTGGGTGATAACTACCAGTCCCACTGGCTAAAGATAACATTGGCTGTTTTTAACAACTTAGATCACATTGTCAGAAATGTAAAATCTTTTAAAATGGTCACTTGACATACAATGCAAAATTATGATGGTCTGTTCTGTATTCTTCATATGCAAATGCAGAGTTGGGTAGAAAACTATCTCCCTAGCAAATGGAAATACACTATAATCACACTAATCTATTACGTCCTGGTGAAATTGAGCAATGTACACTGGGTATGGAACCTAGTGACTAGTGATTTATTATTGTCTTCCTTGGATTTCTCTGTAGGCTTTATTTTTGCACATTTCCACACTAACTAGATTTATATGTAATAAAAATGGCTACTTTATTATTTATGACTTGAGGGCGAGAAGAAGTTAATGCAGACATTGACATTTGACATTATGTTTAGTCATTAAAAGCTCAAATGTACTCTCACTATCTGCCTTCTCCTCATCACAAACACACAGAACCCATATATTTAATCAGCATTTTAATATAAAAGGGTCATATATTAACAATAACTCTGAGTTTTCTTTGTTTTCCTTCTAGCAGTTCATTATGACTTCAAACTTCCAGTGCAATATTGCATCTAGATATTCATGATATTTAAATATGGGGAAACCTATTTACATTTTGGTTTTGTTTTTGCAAATTGATTTAAATAGTCTTCACAAGTTCTGTGATTACTTTTCAACACTTTAGCAGTAATAATATGTCAGTACAATGTAACCCTCTGGCACACACTTGGAGCTATGATGTTAAAACAAATTTTTCTGTGACAAAATGGGAATTAGTAAACGCTCATAGTATAGTAGTGAAATGTCATTTAACATTTTTAATGATTAAGAACCTAAATACATTCTAATTTCAGAGTAGCGAAATAAAAACTATTGTTTTTATTAAATCCCATTACTAGTACTCAAATTAGGGTCTAAAGTCTTATAGATACTGTTTTTATTTTTCTAATATTTTCAATATAAAACTCCCTTTTAATACTGAAGTATAATATTATCTTAAAACATCCAAGTTTTTATAGAGAATAGTTAATTGATTAATAAGAAAGTACAGCCACACAGAACTATACTTGGAAGGAGCTGATCATTTTTTATTCCGAAACACTTATCTATAGCCAACAATACAAAATATTCATTTTGTGTTTAACGATAGGTCTTTGTAGACTTGGGGGTGGGGTATAGGAGACATCATGATCTTGTGGAAACCACAAAAATCTACTTAATTCATTTGTCCAATCTTCCTTATAATAAATGGAAAATTGAAAATTCAATACTTCTATTTTGGTTACATTTATATAAATTCTTGTTCTTTGTGTTCAGTAACTTCACATTTTACTCTGAGGAAAGAAACTTTTGCACATAGTCATCCCTACACTTACTTTACTAAATGGCCAGCAGAAGCAGACAGAAGGATAATGAGGGAACAAGATTATAAAGGAGGATGTGTGTGCTTACTCTATACCAGTGGTCCACATAACCCAGAAGACCATAGATCATGTCAGGTACCCAGAAGACCATAGACCAAGTCAGGTACTCACTGTTAAGTTGTCAAGTAGCTGGTGCTCTTCAGGCACTGCTGAATCCAGGGAAAACCCCCTCCTTGCCCAGTATTTACTGGAAAACATCATCATTGCTGGTTGCATGGATCCCAGTGTAACTTTCTTTCTCAGCAGCAGGGGGGACCAGAGGCACAGAAGCAGTGCTGGCAGGGAGACAGAGGAAAAGAGGCCTGATTCTCTAGCCTGCTTGGGGCGCTGTCCACAACCCGGTGCTGAGGAGCAATGTGAATCTTCCTCTCCCTAGGCTCCTTTATATGAGTGACTGGGGACTGATGGAAAGCTGATTAGAAAGAAACTCATTTCTGGTTGCTGATGGCCACAGCCAGATTACAGATCTGAAGCCTGGGGTTATCTGTGCTCATGATGAGATTTTGTTTTGTTTTGTTTCTTAGGTCGAGTAGCCACTTGGGAGGAGGTGGTGAGGAACAATACATATGAGGGTGTTATTTATACAAGAAAGTATCTGTCCTCTAATGTTAACTCATCGTTCAAGCCTGCTACAGGAAAGTTAGCCTCAATATTTAGGTAACTATAAATCCAAATGTTTTTCTTTCTTTCTAAAAGAAAGAAAATAGTTTCGGAAAGATCATCACTCCTAAACCCTTATGTGATATGTTTTTCTGATCTGATGTGTTATTATTGCATGTGAACAAATTGTGTGCATATATATATATACTACTTTTATAAAAGGTGCTATTTCTGAATCCTGTGATTTTTCCATGCAGACCATTGTTTGGACAATACTATTTCAAAGGACATGAAAGGAACATATAGATACAGCCCAGATACTAACTCTAGAATAATTTTCACTAAGTGGAAAATAGAGAGGCTAAATGAATATATATTTATATATGTTAATAAATATTCATGTTTATTTAATATTCAGTACATAAGCATATATTATTCCTTATGCTTTTTATGGCCACTGAATTTTTTCATCTGCACTTACACCAAGATCAAATATACCAATCTTATATGCTTAGATTGATGTTCTTATTATTCAAACTTGAGTAAACAATAGGAAAACATTACCAGTCTTTTGATGAATGGAAAACTGCTAACCAATTATTCTTGTTTAATTGGAAAAGTAAACAAACTCTGGTAGTGGCTCAGCTTGCCGTTGAAAACTAATTTTTTAAAGAGGAAAATTAGGGGGTCGGGAAGGTGGCTCAGCGGTAGAGTGTTTGCCTTGCATTCATAGGCCCTTGGTTCGATTCCTCAGCACCACATAAACAGAAAAGGCCAGAAGTGGCACTGTGGCTCATGTGGTACAGCTCTAGCCTTGAGATGAATTGCTCAGAGACAGTGCCCAGGCCTAGAGTGCAAGCCCCGTGACCAAAAAAAAAAAAGAGGAAAATTCTTCAAAACCAGAGTAGATAAGCTAATATTAATAGGATTTTAATTGTTTCCAGAATCTTTGGATCATATATTATTATCTGTTCCAATTCTGGATATATTCCTGTAGCTTATTTTCTTCTAATAATCAGTTATGATCAGCTAATAGGAAAGGCAAGTTTAAATAAGTTGAAGTAATGATAAAAACAGCTAAAACTGCTAAGAACTTAGTATTTGCCAACTTCTATGTACTTTCTATGTATTGTTATAAGTCAAAATATGATCATACATCACAAGAACATTAATCACTCCTAGTCAGGTATGGGTGGCTCACACCTATAAGCCTTACTACTCAGGAGGCTGAGATCTGAAGATTGGAGTTTGAAACCAGCCCAGGAAAGAAAGTCAGTGAGACTTTTATCTCAAATTAACTAGCAAAGAGTCAGAAGTGGAACTGTGGCTGTAGAGTACAGTGCAAGCCTTGAGAAGAAAAAAGCCCAGGGACAGTACCTAGGCCCTGACTTCAAGCCCCAGGACTTCCCACCCCACCACATACAAAGATTATTGCTGTTTCTTTTTTATATAATAGATCAACTGAGGCAAGAAAAGCTTAGAAAAGTTGCAAAGGTTTATACAATTAAAGAAAAGGGTGGCCAAAGCAGTATTTAAATTCAGACAGTCTGCCTTTAGAATCTGTGGACTTAACATTGCATTTACAGTTTCATTAGTATTGTAACAAGGAAAAACACATTAACAGAAGTAGGCTCTATAGACCATAACTAAGGTATGTTAGCTGTACCAGTTTGGGAAGATGTGTAACACAACAAAATTTGTTAAACACTCCATTTGTGTTAAGTATTGACACTGAATGCTAGCAATGTAAAGGTAAATGAGATACAGTGCCTTCCCTCAAGGATATTATAGTCAAGTGGGAAGAAACAATTATTTACAAATAACTAGGTGAAACAAGAAATACTGTAGTGTTCAGCACTACCTTGAAATACTGAGGAGAGGCTTCTGGAAGGAGGCCTAAACGGAATATCACAAAGTGAGTTTTCTTAGTTACATAAAGAAATGGGAATAGTTAGGAGATAGTTTAGGATAGAGAGAACATATTTTAAATATATATAGAATTGTTCTTGCTTAGCAGTGATGGAGTACAGGTGCAGGGCAAGTTTGTCCAGTAAAGTATGATTAAGGAAGAAAGAAGGACCCAGATTATGATAAACGTTGTACAGATTTTATCATCTTTTTTCTGTAGGCAAAGGTCAACAACTGCAAAGGCTTTATGCAGGGCAATTACATAAACATGTTAACATTTTAGAAAAGTAGCATTTTAGGTGTAGACTTAAAGCCAGAAGACTGAAATCACTAAATTTGGAATAATGTAGCCAGGAGGTGATAATCTGAATTAAAGCAATAGCATAAAATACGCAATGTAAAGAACCAGAGATTAAGGGGGTTAAAGTCCATAGGACAATGTCCTTGTTTCAATATGGAAGCAGAAAAAATACTTAAAGACATTTATTTAAGATATTTATTGATGGTATTAAAGTTTTAACTACTTTTGTTCCTTCTAAAATCCTACTAAAGCATCTTGGGAAACAACAGCAACAAAAATCTTGCAGCTTTAGAGAGAGATGAAAGGATTATCAAAGACAGCAGACATTTAAAAAAAAAAAAAGCCAAACTACCAATAAAGAGGATTAAAAGGCAACTCACTTTACACCAAAGAATACCCTAAATATTCAATACCTCTGGGCATGGAAGTAGACAGAGAAGACTGAAAAACAATAGTTCCAGCCTACCAAGCAGTTAGACAATTGCAAAACTAATAAGTTATTGTAATCAAGAAGAGAGTAGTACTTCATAAAGATAGGCATACAGGTAAATGGAAGAGAACTGATCATCTAGAAATAACCCTTACACTTATGATATATATATATATATATATATATATATATATATATATAAATTAAACACCCCAAGACACTTCAATAGGAGAAATAATTGTTTTTTAATTAAATGGTTCTGGAACACCTTTGGATTTACACATGCACAAGAATGAAGTGGACTTCTACCTCACATCACAAACAAAGGTTAAGTCAAAATGGATCATAGATGACACAAATGTCAGAGCAAAAACTATAGCACTCTTAGAAAACATAATAAATCTTTGTATTGTTGAGTTAGGCAATTCTTACAGGTCATACCCAGAGCATAAAGATTCAAAGAAAACAAACAAATAGTACTTCATTAAAAAAATTTGAAACTGTAGTTCAAAGGACACCTTCAAGAAAATGAAAAAGACATCCCACATTGCAGAACAAAATATTTGTAAATCCCGTGAGTCATAGAAAAACATAGAATGAAGAGTTCTTGCAACTGATCAATGAGAAGGAAAAAAAAGAGACAATTTTTCAATGGGTAAAAGGTTTAGATAAACATTTCCCCAAAGATACAATCAAAATGCATGTGGAACAAAAATAATGCTTTACATCATTCATCAATTTGGTGATGATGATAATCAAACAATTTTGATTGAAATATTCAAGCAAAACACAATGATATACCACTTCAGATCCACTAGGATAACTAAAATAGAAATACAGATAATGACACGTATTAGTGAAGCAACAGAAAATTTGGAGCCATCTTACAATACTGGTGGTATTATAAAATGGTGCAGTCACTTTGGAAAAACAATTTGAGGGTTCTTGGTTACTATATGGAAAAGAACACAGTTGCTTTGAAAACATATTAGATAGTTCTCAAAATAATAAAACAAAGTTAGCATAGGGTTCAGCAATTTTGTTCCTAGGTATATACCACCAGAAAAATCAAAAGTGCTATCCACACAAAAAGGGTACCATCTAATGTAGTATTATTCATATGTGAAAAAATGGAAATAACTCAAATGTTCACCTGGTGAAAAGACAAAGTGCTGAATGCTGTCAATGAAGTATTATTTGCCATTATAAAAAAAAGAAATACAAGAAAAAAGAAATACTGATACATACTACAATGTTGGAGAAGCCACCTTGAAAATATTACAAGTGAAAGTCACAAAAAACTTTCCATGTATTATATGGTTTTAGTTCTATAAAAAGGTCTAGAAGATGTAAAGAAAGAAAAAAGAGAGAGAAACAGAAAGTAGATTGGTAGTCCAGATACTGGTGACCCATGCCTGCAATCCTTACTATCACTTGGGAGGCTGAGATCTAGAGGATTGAGGTTCAAGGCCATCCCAGGCCAAAAATAAAAAAATTACCAGACTCCATCTAAAAATAACTAGCAAAAAAAAAAAAAGCAGAACTGGGAGCATGCTTCAAATGGTAGTGTGCTTGCGTAGGTCCAAGTTCAATCCCCAATACTGGGGCGGGGGGGGGGGGGGAGAAAGCACATGTGTTGGCAGGGACTACCAAGAGGACAGGAGTAGAGAGGGATTATTGATATACGGTTTAAGATTGATGAAAAATTTCTAAGATCAAATATTGGGGATAGTTGTACAACTGCGTGAATACATTAAACCTCACCAAATTGTACAAATTAAAAGTGAATTTTATGACACATGACTTATACCTTCTCTATTCTAGATAACCAAACCAACTCCCCTTCTTCCTCTCCTGCCTCACAGGTAGATAAATACAGGTTACTCTCTAGAAAGGATCAAACAAAGGCCTCTGTACTAAAAAAGCATCAGGTCTAGTTGAAAATATAGGAGGCAATGATTAAAATTAGATAATATC